TGGTGGGATCTGGAGAGAAACTCTTCAGCTACAAATGGCGCCCAACCCGGGGCAAGTATTTCCACATAAAACAAAAAAAAAGAAAAAAAGATTCCAAAATGAAGTTAAAAATAATTTCTTATGCCGGGCGGTGGTGGTGCACACCTTTAATCCCAGCACTCGGGAGGCAGAACCAGGCGGATCTCTGTGAGTTCGAGGCCAGCCTGGTCTCCAAAGCGAGTTCCAGGAAAGGCGCAAAGCTACACAGAGAAACCCTGTCTCGAAAAACCAAAACCAACCAACCAACCAAACAAACAAACAAAAACTTCTTAATGGTCTCTCTCAAGTTAGTGGCAGCCTGCGGGCTTGAGCTACTCTATGGCGGGTCCATGGCTTGCAGGCTTGACCTGCATGCAACATGGCAGATTCCAAGCCGTACAGTATGATGCGTGGTGGATATAGCTTTTGATAGTTAAAAACAAAAACAAAAAAGGTTTCTGGGCTGCATGCTGCTTTGATGGAAGCATAGACCCACTGCGTCCCAGAGTTGGTGGGAGCCTGGTTCCCAGAGCTGGAGTTAAACGTAGTTCCGCCATGTTGGGAAGCTGAGATGGGTGGAAACACTATAGCTTAAAGCAATAGATTCACAATAAGACAGATTCAGATGGATAAACCTCGAAATGGTTTACAATGTATGTAAAATGTACGTAGGCTTGAAAGAGAAAAAAAGTAATATATACAATTATATAAAAAATAGTTTTAAAAAATAAAGTCTTTAAAGAGAAAGTAAAAGTAATATAAAAAATAAGCCACGTAAAAATGGATATCACAAAGAGAATCTGGATTGTGTTGTCTTTGGGATTTTTAACTGTAGAAAGACATTTGATTATAAAGACTGCTCAGTTAAACAAATATGTATGTTATAAAGGTAACTTGACTTCAAAATTTGGATTTCTGGGGCTGACCTAGCCAGAGCTAAGCATGGGGCATGGTACCTTCCATCACATACAGGCATACTTAACATGTTAAACTCCCTGGGTGTCTCTCAAAAATAAAAAAACAAAAAAAAATTTGGTTTTTAAATCTGTACAATTTAAAATTTTTCTTCTTACAGCATATTCATATTCCTTAGACAGTTAGGTCATACCAGACAGTATATTCAATGCCACCCTCCCCAAAGTTGGCAACTCAAAATCTTGTTACATGTGGCTTTAGAAGTCATATTAATCAATCTTAAGCAGGATGGGAAAACTTTTTTTTTTTTTTTTTTTTTTTAAAGAATCAGATTATAAGCATTTTCAGCTGTGTGGGCCTCGCCACTGCTGCCACAGTAACTATAGGCCATGCACTTGTGGGCATCTGAGAATGGCTGTCTTCCAATAAATTTTTATTTGCAAAAACTGATGATGAGCCAGATCTGGGCAATGGGCTGAAATTTGTTCATCCTTCACAGAGAGAAAATAGAGAGCTTTTCTAAATGCTCCTTCAATGCCCCCCTCCAAATGTCCCATTCTAGCACATAAGACCTTCCCACCATTTACAGGTAAGTCCTTTTATAGATATTAATCTCAAGGTACTATGTGATAGACAGAAGCAGGTCAGTGTGATGCCATGGGTAGCTATTGGGGTTGGGGAATGGTAAAAAGGGGATTATTCCACAATATGAACAATGTAAACAGTTAATAAGGGGTGGGGAGTGGTGTGTGTGTGTGTGTGTGTGTGTGTGTGTGTGTGTGTGTGTGTGTTGAGAAAGACTGATTTGAAGTGAGATCCTGTCAGGAAGACATGTTAACATTGTGGCGGGCAGGGCCTACAGTCACAGTCAGGCATGGATGAGATGGTACATCATGAAGGATACTCACGACCAGTAGAGCAGCATGAGCAGGAAGGGACAGATGATAAGGGCCTGAAGCACCTGCCAGTCCCGGCATAGCGCGGCCAGCCCCGGCATGAGGAACTGGCCTGCCATGGCCACGAAGCTTGCCACCATGGTAATCATGAACCGTTTTCCTGGAGGGCACAGCTCTATTCCTAGAAAACAAATAATATGGGAGATGTGAGTGCCACTTGCTTGCCTGATGGCTGGGGAGCCCCATGCTAGGATGTCATTGGATACATGGGGGGAACTGAGGCCTGATGGGGAAGAGAGTGAGGTCATTGCTCCAGGTCATAAAATAAGCTGGTGGGAAGGACATTGACATTTATAGGGGCTCAGCTCAGGAACCAAGATATGCCACTTGTGGAGACAGTTTGCATCTCTCATTATCTCCTTTCCTTTGCCCTTTGGTATTGCAGAGCTTGCTGTGCAGTGGGTCCTCTTGCTGCCCATGCCATCCCCTTTCCTTCCCACCTAGGATATGCACCGGGGACCCTCTCAGCCTCTGTATGGGTCACCAGCAAGGTCTCCAATCTCTCCCCACTTGCATGGCCATCCTTGCTTCTGACCTCACACCAGCACTCAGTGAAGACATCTCCTTGGTGAAATCAGGACAAACTGACCACACTGCACAAAGCAAAAGCAAAGGCACCTGGGGGTACACTATGACCTGGCAGGAATGCCCCTGTGCCATTCTGAATCCTGTTGTGCATTGGTGTGGGGATGTGGCGTGTTCTTCCCCAACAGGGGCCATTTCTAATTCATCAGCAGAGCTGCACAATGAAAAGAAGTATCTGTCTTCAACCAAGACCCACTAAATGGAATAGATCACGATCTCTCCTGTCCACAAGAGTCCATTCTCTGCATTTGACCCTTTCTAAAACAAAAACCAAAAAACCAAAAAAACTGTCTGAGCACTCATGGACAATCCATATGGACCCAATACATGAATCCCTTTAATAATATTAGAAAAAGTAGCTGGGTTCTACACACACACACACACACACACACACACACACATACACACCTATAGATCATGCAGATTTATTTGCTGTTGTTTTTCTACATTGTACAGTAGTCACTAAATTTTTCTTTCTTGCTTTTCTTTTGGGGGCTGGCAGTTAAAATGATTAAAAGAGAAAAAGAAGAAAGATCCCTTGGGAGAAAATACTCTTCCTGCCTTCAGGTCCAGAGCCTGTTCAATAGCCTGACCTTGCGGCTTGGTCACAGTAGCTTATCTTCTGGCTGTCCAGAGACCACAGCAGGACAGGAGGTCAAAGGCAGTATGCAGGGGCAGATGAAAAGGAAAGTGGATAAATCACACTTGGCTACAAGGATATCATCAGTCCTAACGAGCACAGGGCACTTTGCCAGCCAGCATCTACACCAGCTCACTGCAGAAGAAATATAATCCTGTCAGCAATTTCTGTTCCTCCCTGGCCACAAATAGTCGTTATCACAGCTCCTGGTGAACAGGAGAAACCTGCTCTTACTGGATAGAGCTTATGAGGAACATTTTTGTCATTGAACTAGGAAAAGAGGATGGCAGGGCCTTCCTGAGCCATTTGCTGTGATATCACCCCTCTCTGTGTCACAGCCCAAGCTCACTTAAGTGGTACTTCTTAGCATGGCAGGGTGTGAAATTTCTGCTCTGGGATAATAAAGTCTTTTGTGAATGGACTAATAGTTGTGGTTTTTAATTTTCACTCATTAAGCATAAGGAGACTTGTTATGGAAACCAGGAACCTGTATCAGCCAGAATAGGCTCGATATTGGAGGCCTGACAGACACCAGTAAAAAAATGTAGCACACCTATGGCCTTTTACAGAAGGCAGAGGGATGATGCTGGAGGAGCCTGATGGATTCGTGCTAATGAGTTCGCTAGTACAACAGACCATGCATTGCTTGTTGCCTTTCTCTTCACTACCTCTCTTTAGTGACACAATTATGTGAAGACACCTACAACTGCAGTAGTGCTCCATTGTCTGTGATTTTGTTTCTCATACTTCAGTTTTCTATAGTCAAACACAATCTGAAAATATTAAATGGAAATTCCATAAATAAACAATCCATACATTTTTAAAATATGTGCTTATGATTATTGTGCATGCGTGTGCATGCACATGATGGGGTACACATGCCACACTATACATGTAGATGTCCGAGGACAACTTTGTGGAGTAAGTGCCCTCCTTCCACCTTTACATGGGTTTCAGGATCAAATGTTGCCAGGCGAACATAGCAAGCAGTCTTACCTACTGAGCAGTCTCGCTGCTCTACAACCAGTTCATTTTAAATTGTACATAATTCTGAGGAGCAGGATGGAATCACTGGGGTGAATCAGCTCTCTGTCTAACATATCCATGCCGTGTAAGTCACCTGCTAGCTAGTCACTCAGGGATGTCTCAGTTTTCAGACTGACTATCAGGCCATTGCATTTCACAGGTGTGTGTGTGTGTGTGTGTGTGTGTGTGTGTGTGTGTGTGTGTGTGTGTGTGTGTGT